AAAACTTAGAACTCTTCACCAGCAAACTTTCACTACTAGAAATAATTCAGGATAAAGGGAAATGATACCAGACAGAACTTAGTAATTTAAGAAGAAATGAAGAAATGAAGAATATAGGAAATGTCCATGATAGTAGATATAGCATGTACCACCCACAATCTCTATCAAGTAATGAATCTTTGTGTCTATTACTAGGAGCACTGTCTGCAAACGGCCTTTGATTTTTAGCATCTTCAGAGATTGCTTCAGTTACTTTGCCCAAGGTCAGACCCTTGTAGGACAGTCCACCTCCACCAGACTGAGCAAGACAGAGCTCAAAAGGATGAAGCACACTGATCAATGCAAAGGCTCTCCAGGGCCATTCTAGCTCCAGACCTCACTGTGGGATCAGATGAATTTGACAGTTGATTGAGACTGCAGGTGGACTTCTTCCTCTACCAACATTTTGTGCACAAAACTGTATCTCAGAGTCTGAGTCTAAGAGAACTGGAATAGTACCAATAACTCAAGTGCCACAGCTTTTTAAAGAAAATTATTTCTTTAGAAACAGAAAAAGGTTATGCTTCAATACTAGACTTTTCTAGTGTGTTTTTCTTAAATACAAATAATATTTTGTTCTTAGGATGGAGTCTAGGTTTTCAGATATTCAAGACATAAATTATAGCTAGGAAACCTTTGAAACTAGTTAGTTTTAATGCCTGAACAATGTCATTTCTTCTGGGGAAAAAGGAAAATGAGCAGACTGTAACTGTGAATACTATATGAATTTGTAATATTTATTATTATCATTACTTTAAAAGTAATAGGTGTTGATTTTCTTCTTAGAAGTTGTTAGCATCATAAAGTCCTAAACTATTTCATAATCACAGATCTGCCCTGTAGATCTGTAGTCAGGAATTGGCAAATGTGTGTCAGTAGCGCCAAGAACAGAAGAAGCATAAATACAGTGTTAGTTACAATATTTTAATCACTCTATAGATTAAGTTTTCCAATACAACATAAAACCAAATGATCCTTGGGTGAATTTATTAGCTAATGAAATACTCATAACCCTAATAGGAAGCAGTTTATTTACAGTGAACATTTTCATTTCTTCCCATCTCTCTATTGCCATCCTTGACCTACTAGCCTCCCTGTATCTATTCTCAATTCATTCTTCAATTTCACAAGTTTCTTTCCTCCTTTTTTAAGGTTAAGCACAAAATTTATAGCTCATATTGTCTCTCTTCCTATTTTTTCTTGTATCTATATTTTCTGTTACAGAATAATTATGGTTCCTAAGACCCAAATTCAAAAATGTCTAGCACTTATTATATTACTTTTAGCTTTATGCATTTCCCTTGTGGGATTACCCACTCCATAAATGGTTCAAAAACCCTGGATTTTGCTATACTTACAAGTACTTTTAGGAATTCTCCTCCTTTGCCTCCTCCTTCCCTAAACTGAATTTAACATCATTCAATGAACTCCCTTCTCAGCCACTAATGTGACATCATGGAACTTTCTAAAATAGGAATCTTGGGGTAGAAATTCTTGACTCCTGCTTCAAAATAAATCTTTTACTAAGCACCACAACGACTCAAAGAGAAACTACTGCCACATTATTCTCTGAAAATGTTGTCTTATATTATTTTCTGGTTCACAAAACAACAGATGGCCCTTCACTGGCTACTGCCCAATAACCGACTTCCTCTGTTTAGTGGTCAAGGACACTTGAAATCCAGTCTTTTTTCCCACTATCATATAACACATAGTCTCTGTTCCATCAAGCTACATTCCTTTCTTCCCTTAACTACCTTGCTTCTGTTCACATTACACATCTCTCTGAATGTGTTCCTCTGCTTTTCCCCATCTATTCAAGCCCGTCATTCAAGGCCCAATTTAAGACCCTTCTCCTCCATGAAGACTTCAACAAGGCCAACCCAGCATAATTACACATTTTTTCAGACTTTTACTAAGTTCATATCAATTGCACGATATTGATTTTAAATGTTCCCAATGGCTTCATCTCAGCTTTGTCTTCCTAATTTAAATTTCTAATAATTTGTAGGCACTATTTTTCACATACATACTCTATACACATTCAGTGCTCTTAAAAAGGACTTTTACTAATTACTTCAGCACAGATATTTACAGGAAAACACACCTATAAATTATTATAACATATAAATTCACACTATCACAAACTAGGTTAGAAAGATGGGACTGTCCCCATTTGACCCAGCTATTCCCCTGCTGGGTATCTTCCCCAAAGAATTAAAAGAATCATACCACAGTGATATATGTGCACCCATATTTATAGCAGCACGGTTTATAATAGCTAAAGCTTGGAAACAGCCCAAGTGCCCATCAACTGGAAATTGAATAAAGAAGATGTGGGGTTTTTATAAAATGGAGTACTACTCAGGCATAAAGAACAAGAAACTAGAGACATTTATAACTAAATGGATGCATATTAAGGCCACACTCTTAAGTGAAATAGGAAACCAAATAGTTTCTCTAGTGTGAGGAACTGAAAGTGTAAATAAGGATTAAAATGATTAAAACGAATAATTGATAATTTGAAATAGGAAAAGGTCCAAAGGTGTAAGGGTGGTGGGAGGGGAAGGGGAAAGGGAAGAAAGGAAAGGAAAAATTATGAGAAAAGAAAAAAAAATGGAAACAAAGTCTATGTAAAAAGGGAAGGGTGGAGGGGGTGAAGGGCGCACAGGTAATGGGGAAAAAAATAAGAACTAAGATACATCATGTACAGGTACAAACACCCAATGATATATGTAAATGTATTGTATACCTAAAATGTACCAATAAAAGAATTTAAAAGAAAAAAAGGAAGATGGGACTGTCACCAGTGAGAACAAATCCCTTCTTTTTCACACTTATTTTAATCTCCTTCACTCTTTTGCAAATCTGCTGAAACTGCCAACCTGGTCCTGATGTTTATCTCTTCAATGTTGCTGCCTGCCCTCTAGTGGAAGGTAATGACAAAAAAGTAAAACTTTAACCAAAGAAGAAAAAAAAAAAGTTCCTTTACAGCAACTCATATTGGAAAAACTTTTATAAAAGGTTAAAACATTATAATCCAGATAGACACAAGTAAAGAACTCTCAAAACCTATAGAGAGAACAAAAGGAGGCAATAGCACAGGGTATGAGGTTTGAAAAAGAAGGGGACCACATACAAGGTTAGGAACTACTTGTCTCTACGGGAAATGAGTTAATTTATTCTTAGCTTTTCCCTATAGCATTTTCTAATTGAATATTGTCTACTAACTTCAATATGGCTTGAATCTATAAGCAAATAAGTAAAACATAAAGTAAATATGTAAATTTTAAATCCTATTGCTTACATTGAAGTTATCTGTGTTCCTCCTTGTGAATATACTTTGTATGTGGTGAATTATTTGGCAGTATTGCTACCAAAACAGTATCAGTAAGAAAGATATAAAGTGACTGCCCCAAGTGGTGCTTCTCATTATTCTAAATCATTTCTTGATGAATTTGCCACACCAAATCACTATACATAAAGTAAATTTGTCTTTTGTCTATCTTAAACCTCAATAATCTGATAACTTTATTGATACAAGCATAGATTTAGGAGATTTAATGTATACCTAGTTGTTCTAAAATTTATAACATTTAATATTTAATATTCAAATTATTTATTTTGTTTTAGTCTTGTAAATTTTTTTCTTTGTTCCCACAAGTGAGAGTTCAATTAGAAATAAACAGTCCTTGACTACTTTGCTTCTCCTACCTAGTGCAGTGTTGCACAGGTTTCTAGAAGAGTTTTCCACAACAAGATCCCAACTATCAAAGTATTCAGATCACTTTTCTCAAGTAATAGTGCACTAAGATTATAACTATTGCTTTAACTTTCTCCAGAGGTGTAATGATTATAGGTGTTCTTTAGTGAAAAGCATAAGGTTAAATATTGATGAAAATTACCCACCCAAATGTTTTGTGATGCTTACTGACATGTATTATAACTGAGTGTGATTCTGCCACATTCTAGTCACATCTAACCTGGACAAACCATTTCAGTTCTCTAAGCCTTGGTTTCTCTCTTTGTAAAATGGAGAGCTGTCTTCCATGCCTACTGCACAGAGTTGCTGTGCACATCAAAGAAAAAGTGTATGAAAATTCTCAACAGAAAGGTACAGTAGTAGAGGTTATTTTACATGTGCTCACCAGTAAGATCAATATGTGATTTTTTTTTTTGCTGGAAGATAGACAAAAATAATTTTGAAGTCATTCAAATGAGGGGGAAATCTTTTTTTCTTTAAATTATCAAATTAAAAAAATTAAAACGGACTACACTGTATCCTTGCAGCTGCCCCATTACTAAAAGTGAAACCTGAAAACTTCTTCCTACATCAACTCCCACCAACCCTCTATAATGAAACCAGGACACCCCCACAGTAGCCCCAAGTTCTCTTTAACTCCTACAGAAAACTAGACGTTGAGGACTATGTATTCTGATTCAGAAAGTGTCTGCAACAGCCCACACAACCTCAAGATAAATACAGACACATATCACAGACGCCAGCATAACTGTATGCATATTGTATTTTAAAAGCACCTAGTCATTGAAAGTAATGGAAAGTAATACTTTTCTAATTTATTCTATTGACTTCATGGGCCCAGATAGGATAGGATAGGATAGTTATTTAAATTTTTTTCTAAAAGGGGGAAAAAAAGATAAAGAGAACTCAGAAAACTTTCATTGCTAACTATTGTATTTTATTTATCCTGCCTTGTCCAAAAACTGGGGAAGGGGGAGGAGGAAGTGACAGGAAAATTGTAGAGATGCCTATATTATAATAGAATACAAAATAAAATAAATAAGACAAAGCAGAAAGTAAAGATAATAAAGCCAACCTAACCCCTATATTTGTAATTGCAATTGGCTCACATTGTATAATAAAAAAGGCAAAGAAAGCTTAAGAAGAGCTAAGACCAAGTCTCTCATCAGTCTTTCTCCCAAAGAGAAGTCAGACTCACCCGCCACTGAGAAAACTGTAAACAGCAGGAGTAGCCCTAGGTCAGAAGTTCTCCAAGGGCAGAGCATTTCTCTTGTTTTCTGCCCTTCACTCAGTGTGTTTCCTCCTCACAAGTCAAGCAACAGCTGTGAGCGCGGCCAGGCTTTCAGCAACTTCTTGGTGCTGGATTTTCCTGCTCATGGGCAGCAGGGCACTCCTTTCCTCCTAGTCTTTTCCTTCAACTTGACGTGTTGTAGTCTGATTAGTAATTTGGAAAAGAAGAAACTCTTCTCTGAAACTTGACACAGCAATATATTTCCTGTATGAAGCCCTGAAGCAAAGACGGAGGAAGCAGGTTGATTGAGTTATCTTTCAGCTCATTGGTTCTTCTCTCACTTCTGCTGCTCACAGATAAACTTTAGAGTAAGGTGATGAACATGCCAAGATAAACGGATTTGTCAAATCTTGCATTAAAAAGTAAAACAGGACATTCATCTATTTGGGACCCGTGCCTGTAAATTTCCTAATCATGGTAACTTTTAGGTTAAAGAGGCATCCAGCCTTAGTATTCAAGTGTGGAATAAATCTTTTCCCCCTGACATTTTTTGGGTGAAACTGGTGACTAGAATAGGAGGAGTCCACACAAAACTCTGGAAGTATCGTAAATGTATCAATTTTTATCACTACTCAAACAACCACAAACTTAGTAACACAAACTGAGTATCTTACTGTCTGTAAATCAAAGACTGAAACAGATCTCACGAGTTAAAATCAAGGAATGGACAGGACTGCATTTTTTCTGGGAATTCATGGAAAGAATCTCTTCCTTGCCTTTTCCAACACCTTGGGAATGTGCATTCTTTGGCTTCTGGACACATTACTCTGCCTGTAACTATACTGGCTCATCTCCTCTGATTGTGACCCTCCTATCCCACTCATTAGGACCCTTTGTGGTTATATTGGGCCCACTGAGATAATCCAGGATAATCTCTCCATCTCAGGATCCTTAATTTAATCTTACCTGCAAAGTCCATTTTTCCATGTAAAGTAACATATTCACAGACTTCATGAATTCAGACATAGCCATTTATCTTGAGGGGTCACTATTCTATATCATAATTCAGTGATCATAGGCATATACTTTCATCTCTGAAGACAGACTGATCATTTAACAAAGTATCAAATGAATACTCATTTTTTAGTTGCTACACATCTGGAACTTCTACATTTTAGAAGACCTCTGCCTAATGTTGCTAGTTAATGCTGGGTTACATTTGAGAGGGAGAAAAAGTCTATGTGGTAAGAATTCCCCAAAACAATATTCTCCCGGAAAGGGAAGAAAGCTTTGCAAACAAGAAGAAGATTAAAGAGCATGCATTTTTCCCCTAAGTTAGCAGTTCCATCTTCCTTTTTGCCAAACATTAAACTATAAATATTTTTCCTCCTTCCCCTTCTCAAGTCTTTTTTCTAGTGAGTGAATTTGGCATGGAAGACGTCAGGATATTAGTTCTGACAATGAGTAGGCTATAGCAACCTTCTCTTCTGTCCAGTGTTTAATTAGGTGTCAAAAAATCAGCAAGGAAATGTCATTTAAAATATAACACTCTGGTTTCCCACCACATGAGGGGTCAAGAAGATGGTTTTGAGAACAGACAAACCTAAGGTTAGCCAATTACAAATACAATGATACTGGGAATTTCTCAATCAAATCTGGCCTTTTTCCTCCTTAATTTATATTGATATGAGCTTTTCCACATAGCATCAAAAATTGTGATGATCATTTATTTTAAAGCTTGCTCAGTGACACAGCCAAAACTAAAGCACAGAATGGCTAAATGGCCTCCTTAAAGTCTCAGAGTGACTTGGTAGCACAGCTGAAAGCCAAACATTTCATGTTTGCTAGCCATAAGTTTTTTGAATCTAACAAATTAATTATTGCAGAGGTACTATAACAAATGAGGTAGTATAAAAAATAAAATGATTGCTCTTCTGCCCATACCCCATTTTCTGTTTTCCAATTCACTTCTCTGCAAGGTACAACCAAATTAATGGACCTTCCCACATGCATAGTCATTAAATGTACTAATTGGTAACTTAAAAGAGCCTTACAAAGTGCATATTTCTGTTTTATGTCATATTGTTATACTGATATCTTAATATTTTCACTTCTGATTTACAATTGATCTATGTCACCTAATAAAATTATCCTTAGATTGTTAGGAAAAATATATGTCACATAAGAGTTAATTATTTTTTTCATTAAAATTGTATATACTCTGCAAAAAGAAAAACTTAGGAATAGAAGTTTGAAAATGTTTGCAATATCAAATAAGCAATCAAAATAGCTGGGGATTTAGCTCAGTGGTGCCACCGCCTGCCTCTCAAGTATAAGGTCCTGAGTTCAATCCCCAGTACCAAAAGAAAAAGTCAAATCAAAACCACAGCAGAGAAATTAATTCTCACATTTCATTTATTGCTAAATATCAATGCTAGGCCACACTGATCATATTTGTTGTAAATAACATTTGTCAAGCCCTAAGCTTATCACCTAGGCCTTGTTTTACGTACTTTATTGCTTCGTTTAATTCTCTCAACAACCCTATACAATAACAATTGTTATGATCCCATTTTACAATTTAAGAAATTGAATGAGTGAAGCTCAGCTGGTCCCAGCACCTGGAAGAAAGCTCTCCCACTGCCATCCCAGGCTCCTAGGGCCAAGAAGGTGAGCCGGTCCCAGCACCCAGAAGGAAGCTCCCCACCTCCATCCCAGGCTCCTAGGGCAGGGAAGGTTAGCCACATGGGTGCCACAAGCACCCTCCCCCCACCGTGGAAATGAGAAGACACATAAACAAGCCTCAAAAACAGACTTCCAGATCACCTACAGCAACCTCAAAGGGAGCCAATCCCAGCACCCAGGAGGAGGCTCCATG